TTCTGAAAGAGGATATTTTCAGCTTTCCGATGGAAAAATAATATACGGGGTGTTGTATTTGAAAAACTCAATTGAAATAAACTTTAAAATTGACGTGTTTAGACAAATATTTTGGTCACCCTGTATACTTAAATCGAAAAATGAAGATAATGTAGGAGCAACTATGCTAACATTAGATAACATGTAAATTTTTAAGGAAATTTAATGTACAGTGGCGGAGATATGACAATTTCAAAAAAGTAAGTTTTGTTCCATTTTTTTCTTCGAAAAACTATAACTTGGCAACGCTGCATTCAACCCAAATACAATTTTAAAGTTGAATACAGAGCACATAGAGGCTTCATTTGCCACATAAAAACATACGGTATTCCATTCAAAAAAAATATAAAATTTGTGATTACTTTTTTTGAGTATACTTGAAAATAATTTTGGCTTATACCAGAGATAAAATGCTAAAACTTTTATACAGAACATTTTTCCATAAGCTCAACGGTTTGGCTACTATTGACCAAGGCGCGCTTGTTGGACTTCCCGTATAAGAACGCACTAGCTGACATCACACACAACCACACATTCGACTTTCGATGGGGGGACAAACAAAACGTTTATAGGTCTATTTTAACATGCAGGCATTACCTATTAACGTCAAAAGTCATATAACGTCACTTTCGATAGGGGGACAAAAATGTCATTGTGAGGTTATGTGTGTGACGATTCCGGGATTGTTCTAGAACGGTTCTCTCAGTTCTTGCTCTGAAGGAGGAACTGTTTTGGAATTTTGTTAAGCGGCTTGTTTGGGTTTTTTGGTCCGAAATCGGTTCAGAATTAGTATAAGAAAAGTCCGCCAATATTTTCTGTGCGCAAGCAGTTCTGCGCAATCCCAGAACCGTTCCAAATTTTGAACCAAAACAGAGCTATTCAATTTCAATACAAACTGTCCCATGACAGCTCATTTCATCCCAATAAAAACTACACGGAACAAAAAATGAAATACTTATACTTATTGCTTATACTTTCTATATAAACAAAAGTTTTTAATTACGGGTCAATTCTGTGCACATCTGTAAACAAATCTATGAGTCTTTCTATAAGCCTTCAGCTGCCTATAGACAATTTGCAATTCTGCACTTCCTGTAGCTTATAGACAATCTTATAGGATCGTGGATATTTCCCATGGGGTATTTGGAAATCGATGCGTTTTGCAGTGTCTATAACCACATCATACTTATAGATCTTGGCCCATGCAAAACTTTGACAACGTATCAAATTCGTTAATCGAGAGCAAAAGTATCGACCCTAAGGCTGCATATTTCTATCTCAATTTTTATGAAAATTCGAGATCTATCACCTGTCAAGCGTTGTCAGTCGAATATCCGGACACCCTGTATATGACGGAAATATCGAACAAGCACAAACATTTCACAAGGGAAAAAACGCAAATTTGACAACGTTGAAATCTTTCTCCTTCCGTCCAGTTGTCACCGCTGAAAGGTCAGAGTAAATTAAAAATATTGAAAAATTACTTGAGAAATTCCATAAGTCAGAATGCATGATTTATCTATTTTGTCTATCAAACATAGCACAGCATCCAATATGGATATTCGGTATTCAGTTGCTGCAAGAAAATTATCCAATGGATAAAGGAGCCATAGACGATCAAAACTTGAACTATTACCGGCTTTTGATTCTCTGGAAAACCTTCCTGGAACCAATCCAAAGCCGGTATTAGTCAAAATTTGAACTTTTATTAACTCTGGATTCTCTAGAGAATTGTTCTAAGGGGAGTTAAGTCTCAAGAGCCGATAATAATCAAAATTTCGAATGATCATTAGCAGCTCTTAAGTTGATATAGATCAAAATTTCTTCTTCCGCAGCTTCTAATTGGCTTAAGAAAAATAATTATCCATTGGATCAAGAGCCACAGATAATCAAAATTTGAACTATTACTGGCTTTCGATTCTTTGGAAAACCTTCCTAGAGCCAATGAAGAGCCGGTAATAATCAACATTTGAACTTTTATCAACTCTGGATTCACAAGAGAATTTTTCTAAGGGTATTCAAAGCTCAAGAGATGATAATAATCAAAATTTCGAATGATCATTATCAGCTCTTAAGTTGATATCAATCTCCAATGGATCAAGAGCCACAGATAATCAAAATTTGAACTATTACCGGCTTTGATTCTTTGGAAATCTTTCCTGGATCCAATCAAGAGCCGGTAATAGTCAAAATTTAAACTTTTATCAACTCTGGATTCCCTAGAGAATTGTTCTAAGGGCAGTCAAGGGTCAAGACCCGATAATAATCAAAATTTTGAATGATCATTAGCAACTCTTAAAGTTGATATCAATCAAAATTTTTTCTTCCGCACTCTAGGAAAAGTATCCAATGGATTAAGAGCCACAGATAATCAAAATTTCACCTATTACTGGCTCTTGATTCTTTTGAAAACCTTCCTAGAGCCAATCAAGAGCCGGTAATAGTCAAAATTTGAACTTTTATCAACCCTGGATTCCGTAGAGAATTGTTCTAAGGGCATTCAAAGTTCAAGAGCCGATAATAATCAAAATGTCGAATGATCATTCGCAGCTTTTAAGTTATTGTCGATCAAAATTTCTTCTCCTGCAGCTTCTAATCGGCTCAAGAAAAATTATCCAATGGATCAAGAGCCACAGATAATCAAAATTTGAACTATTACCGGCTTTTGATTCTTGATTCTTTGGAAAACCTTCCTATAACCAATCAAGAGCTGGTAATAGTCAAAATTTGCACTTTTATCAACTCTAAATTCCCTAGAGAATTGTTCTAAGGGCAGTCAAGGCTCAAGAGCCGATAATAATCAAAATTTCGAATGATTATTAGCAGCTCTTAAGTTGATATCAATCAAAATTTCTTTTTCCACAACTTCTAATTGGCTCTAGGATAATTATCCAATGGATCAAGAGCCACAGATAATCAAAATTTGAATTATTATCGGCTCTTGATTCTTTGGAAAACTTTCCTAGAGCCAATCAAGACCCGGTAATAGTCAAAATTTGAACTTTTATCCAACTCTGGATTCCCTAGAGAATTTTTCTCCAAGGCTCAAGAGCCGATAATAATTAAAATTTCGATTACTCATTAGTAGAGCTCTTAAGTTGATAATCCAAAGGACAATTGAACGACAAATTATCGAGTAAAAAAAATCTAATGTTTTTCCAATACAAGGTTAGGGGGGCCTAATTGTGATACCTATTTGCTTAGGGGCCCAAGGCATCCAAGCGCCGTCACTGGTAGAAAATAATCCGGAAACAACTTCCAAAATCAACTCTTTACCAGAATTGTTGGAGGAAAAATCACCGTTTTCCATAATATAAATCATCCATTGAGCAAAAACCTACTTACCACCAGTTCTGGCCAATGGGTTTTCGACAAATCTTTAGGAGATTCCTGATCTGACATTTTCACTGGAAACTTTTGTGGACAGATGAAAATCCTTTCACCAGTGAAATATTTAATGATTTTAATTATATTTTCTACAAAATAATAGGTCTTCGTCGTGTTTGTGATGCTGTCCCAAATAAAGTTAAAAATGTATGCAGTACCTAGAAGACACATCAAACAATTTAGATGAGAAAGATATTCTCTCACTTGGGGTTTTGCCATAATATCAATATTTTTTGAAAATATTATTTGACAATACATTAATACAACATTGTCAGATCTGTCGTCTTTACTGTGAAAATGATTTTTTTTGAAAACAAAATTTATTTCAGCATTATGGTTTACAAAGGTAAAAGTCTCCAAACAGTGCTTTAAGCACTGGTATCCAGGTTATAGTTAACTCCAACAACGCTGAACAGATAAAGTATCTAACCTAAATCGTCTCATTTTCTAGATGAATTTTCAACATTTTCACGAATTTTCTAAATTTATGATTTTTCATTTCATTTGGTAAACTGTTAAAAGAACTGGAAGCTTGTGATTTAATCGGATATTTTCGACATTACTGTCAATTTGTTTTGTTCAGAAGAAAACAGACTTTGCATGAAATTCTTTAGAACTTTCTCAATTTAACTGATTCTCAATCTCATGTCATCAACAAATTCATGAAGGTGGGGATCTAACTTGATGGGACATACTGTATGTTTGTTTCTTGTTTTATTTATTATAATCACTGGATTAGGGACATAATACTTGTTTCAACCAACAGATTATTAACTTTTTTTTGGCATTGATAAAAATTGATAGAACAGTTATCCAGAAAATTGTTGAAACTTTCTGGATCACTATGACATGTCACAATAGATGAATTTAAAAAGTTTCTAAACTAGCTGGTGAACCCAAATTGAGACAGATATACTTAAAAACTATCATTAGGAGTTTTCGTGAATGCGCTCTAAACGTTTACCGTCGGATGTAAATTCAAATGTAAATTATATTGAAGAATTTTTCCTTGGATTCCTTGAAGGATGAACATTATACCCTTTAATTGTTTTCATCTAAAATAATTCATTTTTCATTTCCAGGATCATGTACTTCCTTTTTACAAATAAATAAACATTACACACGTATAGCTCATCAATTCAAATCGATAAGCAATAAAACCCATGGACGTAGTCCTTTTAACCCGCAATCAATTAAAACCCATCTGGCCTACATAATCGGTCACAATTCAGAGATGCTCCGGGTCTATAGAAACACGAAATAGGCTATTCGAACAGCTGATCGCCTCGTGGACGGCTCCAAAAAGGACCGGGGCTTTTAAACGAAAATTTCAACGGGACGGACGGAGAGCAGTGCAGGGCTGTTAATGCAGCTCGGACAGAGATGGCAATTTTCGTTCGTTCAACCCTGATTATTCATGCACTTGACTTGCCGACACCGGGGGTTAAAAAGGAGTTTACCAACTTTTGATTACGTATTAGGATTTCGGGTGAAGGCTAATTTTGTTTGAAGGGGTGATGATACTGAGCATTCATTAAACTAAAATTATTATTTTAAGTGAAACATTTTCTAACCTGCTATTGCCATCCATGGATAGAACGTGTGGTTCGTCTGTTGATGAATCTGCGTACCAACCGGTTGCGTCGAAGTGGTATTTAACGAACATGGATTATTCCAAGACGATAAAGAATTGGAAGTTCTCGTTCCTGAAGCTGCTCCGGGACTCGTTGATGGATCTCCTCCGATCAAACCGGACGATCCGTAACCGACTCTGGAATCGGGTGTACACGCTGAAGGTCTTACCGGTCCAGCCAGACTATTTGCTAAATTGGCACCACTTCCAGTTGTAGCACTTTGCCATGCATTTTTAACAGCTTCGGCTGATGCCGCGACCACTGCCGCGTAACCGTTTTGGTCGGCGTTGCCTTTTGAACAATCTGATTTTGTTGTGGGATTACTGTAACTGTTTTGTTGGCCATCTGAGGAATACAGTTTGCAAGTTGCGGCTACGGAAGCGTCATAAGGTGAATCTTGTGGCGGTCTGGCTTGGTGTAAGGAATGTGCGGCATGATGATGTTGACTGGAAGCATAAGGTGACATGCCTAAACTTAATGGGAATGATCTGTAAGCCGCAGCAGCAGCAGCTGGGTCATGATGGTGAGCTCCAGTTACAGAGCCAGAACCTTGATGATGGTGGCCTCCGTAGAAGCCACTCTGTTCAAAATATGAGTTCATTATTGCTGCGTTAATTTTGACTAATTAATAATGATCCCTCAAATTGAGGGATGCGTCCTTCAGCACAAATTAAACTTTAACTAAAAAAGAAAAAAACTGTCACTGGTCCACATAAAATGTAAACAAACACTTCAGCCGGCAGTTAGTGGGCGCTCGAATTACGAAATGCAATAATTGACATTTTTAAAAAAAACTATTAAATAAAAAGTCCGAACTGGGATATGAGACGATCAAAGTGATGATGAGTCCAAAAATGGTTATTGTTACGACGTAATTTTAATAATAATGATCCGAGCACGAGTACACCGCGCGATTGTCAGATCGGCAATGCTAACAACCAACGTTTTAGTGCTTTGAGATCGCGGATGGATCAAAACCCACTGTGCACTGGAGCACTCGAGCAGACTCCGGCCCACACATTCCCAGCCCATTCGCGCTTACGCTTTCCATCGCGCTTTCTCACTCTCCACTCTCCCCACTCTAACTTGGCAGCACGCGGACGCTTTAATAGCCTATTATTATTACCTGCCGCTAATGCTAAAACGCTACCTGTTTTTTTTTGTTGACCATCTACACTTATTTTTTTCTTTTACTCAATTCGAAACGGATATGGCTCATTATCACTTCTTTTAAATTTCAAGTACTCTCACCCCAGGTACCTTATCCCTTTTTTAAACCAACCCCTTTACCACCCAGCTTCAAAATCCTTTCACAAACTTTTAATAAAAATATGTGTATCATATTAACCAGAATAGTGTAACAAAATTAAATAAACAATTGCACTATAGTAAATTAACAAAAGAAAAGAGATAGCAGTTACTATTGCAAATAATAAAGACGCAAATAGACGCATACAATGGAAGGGATCATAAAAGGACCAATGGCGTTCACATTCGTCACGATGTCGGCGCCCACATTTAACGTTGCGCAAGAATAGCATCGTCCGTCTCACAATCGTTCGCCCCACTTCAATATGTTCGTCTCGCTTTAATTCACGGCCGGCTCGGATTGCGGCCGGTAGCGACCTCTCTCGAACTACAGCCGAACCGAGCCAAACAGACTATTTCGAGCGCTCGAATGGGCCACATCAAGGAATATTGCCTGCTCGTAAAAAGGATGAAATTCGTTTCGGAATTAATACTTGAGGCACTTCGGAATGGAGGTTTTGTCATTTTCGAGTTTTTCTTTGAATCAGATTTAATAAATGCGGGAGTTTTCATGTTTTTTTTTCTCTTTGGAACATTCATTTTTTTGTTGATGAGTCTAGTTCTTATGATTTGTGCCTTTGAAGTGTGTTTCATGTTGGGTATTGTTTCAAATTTCAATGTTTTTCTATTCTTTATAGTTAGAATTATTGTTTCAAACTAATTACAAGTGATGGAACGATTGGAGCTATACTTACGCATCAATAATGTCGATAGGTATACTCAAATTAATACTGGTTAAGTTCTCATTGAGAAAACATTAGGAAACATTGTATTTTTAAAATTTGTGGACATTTTAAAAATCTTATGTAGAAAATGGGTATAGGTACTAATCTTTCTGCACAGAATATAGGCTTGTAGGATTGACATTTGGGAGATAGTTTATTATCTAATTTTTGGAAATTTAGCATATATTATCAGTTCAGTACTAGTACTCAAATTAGTAAGCCTCTTTGGGGATTAAAAAGTTTTGTTAAATTATTAGTGTCCTATACACATCTGGATAACAGGTCTTCATGTCAATTTCCATTTACAAAAACATAATTGGAAAAATTATGTTTTCGCAGTTTGAATTGACTATGTTTGTTGGTTGTTATTAGGAAATCCTTGGATATCGGGTTACTTGACCAATATTTCATTATCATCGTTTTTATTGGTTTTAAGTCAGGTTAACCAGGTCCAAGTTGACTTGAATCAAGTATCATTGGATGCTGCGCACGTCCCCCTTGGATGATCCTTGGATCGTAGCAACTTCAATCCAAATCCAGTTGGATGGGTCCTAACTTCTAAGTGAGTAGACTTGCTGCAAACTTACTTGGTCCAAGTTCTCATCCATGAATGCACTAGGACCAAGCACTTGGATCAAGTACTCTTGGACGTCGCGCGCGCCTCACTTGCACGATAGGTACAGTTTTTGAATAATCATACAGTTTCCTATGTATACAGGTTTTGAATAATCATACAGTTTTGTATATTTCCGTATGGTTCTCCATTCGTAGGTCGATCGAGTGTACGCCACTGGTATTTTCCTGTTTCTTACTACCCCCTCAACCTTTCCATGTTAGTATGAATTTAATCCTATGTACAGTTTTTGAATAATCATACAGTTTTGTATATTTTTGTATGGTTCTCTATTCGTAGGTCGATCGAGTGTACGCCACTAATATTTTCCCATTTTTGACTACCCTCTCAACCTTTCCTTGTTAGTATGAATTCAATCCTATGTACAGTTTTTGACTAATCATACAATTTTGTATATTTTCGTATGGTTCTCCATTCGTAGGTCGATCGAGTCTATGTCACTGGTATTTTCCTGTTTCTGACTACCCCCTCAACCTTTCCATGTTAGTATGAATTCAATACTATGTACCTACTGTGGACCGTATCAAGTGTTTATCCAAGTCCAGTTGAAAAAGTCCTAACATCCAAGTAAGTAGGCTGGCTGTCAACTTACTATGTCTAAGTTTTCATTCAAGTAGGGTTGCCAACCGTCCTGTATTAGGAAGGACGTCCTGGATTTCGAGCCCACAAGAAGGACGCATTTTGTCCTGGATTTTAGCCAGTTGCTCAAACAATATACGATAAAATACGTTTTTACTATTTATGATGACATCCGACAACATTGCACTGTCGCGCACTGTCATTTGCGAACAACACAGTTAGTAAATTAAGGTTTAAAGCTTACTTTTCATGAAAAGTAAGCTTAGGTAATTTTTTGGTTTTTGAAATGTTTATTTCATTTTTTTAGTCAGTAATATTTTTTAAAGAAGGAGGCATAATTTACATTGAAAATAGGCCCCCGTAAATTTCAACCAAATTTCAATATTTTAAAAGTATCATCATTGCAAGAAAAAATTTGAAATGTAAAGAGGATCGTATGCCTGTGATAGCAGATGAATGTGACACATGCAGAGTAAAATTTAAACGATAAGGCCAGTTGGAGAGTCACCAACTAAAACACTTGGATATCAGTTATCTTTTTGAATGTGACACTTGCAAAGCAAAATTTAAATGAAAAGGGGATTTGAAGAGTCACAAACTGACACATTCGGATATTTATCCTTTTGAGTGTAACACTTGTAAAGCAAAATTTAAACGGAGACTCGACTGGAAGAGTCCCCAAGTGAAGCACTCGGATATTTTTCCTTTTGAATGTAACACTTGCAAAGCAAAATTTAAACGAAGAGATGTTTTGAAGAATCATAAACTTACACATTTTGATATTTTTCCTTTTGAATGTGACACTTGCAAAGCAAAATTTAAACAAAAATGCCTTTTGGAGAGTCCCAATCAATCCACTCGGATATTTATCTTTTTGAATGTGACACTTGCAAAGTAAAATTTAAACGAAAAGGCGATTTGAAGAATCACAAACTAACACATTCGGATATTCATTCATTTAAATGTGACACTTGTAAAACAAAATTTAAACGAAAACAAAATTTGAAAAGTCATCAACTAATACACTCGGGTATTTGTCTTTTTAAATGTGCCACTTGTGGAGCAAAATTTAAACGAAAAAGCAATTTGAAGACACATATATTGGGGCATTAGAATGAGAAAAATTGAAAATGCAACATGCATCGCCGAAGTTAATACCAGTGGTTATCTAAAAAAACATTCAGTGACGCATTTAGTAAAATAGGTGTAAGTTTGAATTTAATGCTTGCTCTGTAACTCTGTAAAATTTAAACGTAAAACAATTTTCAATGTCCATTTAGCATCCACAATAGGTTAATTAACAAGTGTTTTAATCCATTATTTACATACAATCTTAAAAAGTGACTTGTAATAGTTATTAATGACACCAGTTCATCGTTTCCAATTTTTAAATTTCGTTTGCAGAAACTGATATTTTTTCAAAGTTGTTAGTATTTTTCGAGATATTCAAGAAAATCTACGTAGGCATATTTCCTCGGATATTTTCTATGTCTAGCATAGCAGGACCTACGTACTTTGATGAGGTATATCTGCTATCATAGACGTACGATCCTCTTTACATTTCAATTTTTTTTCTTGCAATGATAATGATACCTTTAAAATATTGGAATTACACCTTTGTCCTGGATTTCAAAAATTATTAGTTGGCAACCCTACATCCAAGTGAACTTGAACCAAACACTTGGACCGTGTTAAACTGGCTTTAAAAAGTACTCTAAAGCACTTTATACACTAAAGGGCCCCATACACTACGGTGAAACACGACGGTTTTCACCGCCGCGAGGAAACACGTCGTGTTTCATCGTCGGCCTGTTTTCACCACACACTACGTGATTTTTTGGCAGTTTTTTCCGCGAACATGTCGCAGCTTTTAGCAGTGGCGGCTGCAGCTGCAGTTCTTGTAAAAAACAAAAAAAAGAAGCGTACAGTGTGGACTAAAGACTGGCTATTAAAAAGAAAATCGTTTTCTCATGTGAATTTGTTGCAAGAATTGAAACTGAATCCAAGCGATTGGTTTAATTATTTAAGAATGGATGAAGATACATATCTGGACTTATTGAAATTGGTAACTCCTCTAATAGAAAAAAAAGTACCCACTTAAGAGAAGCAATTGGACCGCATGAAAAACTTACCGCTACATTGTGGTACTTAGCAACGGGAAGAAGTTATCAAGACCTTAAATTTACAGCAGCTATTTCCGCACAGGCTTTAGGACGAATTATTCCTGAAACATGGTCTGCAATATATCGACAATATCACTTTGCGCTCGAATTACCATGATTTTTTCTACAAAATTGAAATGATTTTCCATTAAAATTAAAAAAATCATAATTCAGAAAAATTAAATGTCAATAAATTCAACAACAAATACTGCGTACGTCACTGGAAAAAACACGTCCATTTGGACGGCTGAACCCACACACAACGGTTTTGGAACGAAATCTTGAACCGTCGTGCCAAAAATCAAGCTCGGACTGAATTTTAAACCGACGGTGAAACACGACGGTTTTCTACCACACACTTCGGTTTTGGCACGACGTGTTTCATCGTGGCGGTGAAAACCGTCGTGTTTCACCGTAGTGTATGGGGCCTTAATAGCCTTCATGCTTGAATCAGAGGTTACAAGGGCCCCATACACTACGGTGAAACACGACGGTTTTCACCGCCGCGAGGAAACAGGTCGTGTCAAAACCGAAGTGTGTGGTAGAAAACCGTCGTGTTTTTCTACCACACACTTCGGTTTTAGAACGACGTGTTTCATCGTGGC